CTCAAGGGGAGCGAACCCTACAGGGCAACGCGGGGACGGGCGCAGTTGGGGTAGCTGCGCAGCGACATCCCCAGCCCTGAGGAGCGGGGGAGGGGAGAAGGTTCCTCCACCCCGTTGTTAATTTGCATAGGGGGGGTGTTTTTGGGGTGAGGGAAGCCCTGGGTGCGTAACTCCCCCGCTCCTGCAGCCCTGTTACTACGTGACACTCTCCCTTTTCTTCAAACATTTCTGAGCATCACGGTTAAAGAGAAAAGCTGCGAAGGTAAATCCCACGCCTCAGAGAGACCCGTAGAACCACCTCCCACCACTAATTATTTTAAATCATAATTTCAGGAAAACAGACTCAGGGTTTTTTGACCATTTGGAGTTGGCAACCCCACACCCAGACATAGCTCACAAGGCAACTGAGGGGTAGTTCTGTAATAGATCTGTGGTATAGACCGCAAATTTTATGCCTGAATTTGAGCAGGACAGGCGCCTCTACCACCTTTTAAATTAGCCCAGCCAATTTTCCAGGTGAGAGTTTTTCTGACCTTCAAATCATTTGGTTCCTCCTCCCTGATACCAAGGCCTAGTGTACAGCCAACACAAAATTATTACAATTTACCTGCAAGTATGATTTCAAATCAGTCTAGTTTAAGTTGGTGCCAGGCCAAGTGTAGATGCTGGGTTACATACTTTAGCTTGTGTCAGTAAACATAGCAGCTCAGTCTGCATTGATATTACCATGTATGAACTAATGGAAGTGTCTCCACACAGGGATTTGCACCTGATTAAAAGCAGATTTAGATAGTTAAACCAGTGCAATTTATCTGTACAGACTATGTTTTAATTGTGACTTGTATATGCTAGAACTGGAATTTATGTTTTCGCAGATATTTTTAAAAACCCAAACAATAAATTACAATGACTATTTCCAGGCTGGGCTTGCCAGCAGAGATTGGCCAGAGCAGCTTGAGAGTATTCATACTGCTGCTGAGCAACAAGGAAACAGAAACACATGCAGAAACTGGCATGCAGTGTAAAAATCATTAAATATGAACATGCAAATTGTCTCTCCTGCATAAAAACAAAGCTGTCAGAATAATTCTACAGTACTTTAATTATACCAATCAATACCTATATTTCAGGTATGTGTGTATAAACTTAACAGTCACTTAAACCTGAATCCTGCAAATACATACGTGATTTTTCACATGAAATGTAGTCTTGTTGAAGCCAATGTTGTACAAAAATTACAACTATGTCCTAAAAACTACTATAGAGAAAATATAATAAGGTTTACTCAGCAATTTCATAACTGGTCATCCTGATTTTACTGATAAAGTACCAGTGGCATACATCCAGAAGGTTTTGGGTAATGATGACAAATTAAGTTCCCATGGAAAAGCTGTTGTTCTTTCAGTTAATGGATCAAGAAAGGACAGGTATGTCAAGTGTTTTCACCTTATTTATAGCATCAAATTTAGGGTAGATAGATACTTCATATGAGCCTACTTCAGGCTCCTCTAAATCATACAGGAGATTGATTCAGTCTGTTTAGAAGAACAAAAAGGTGGATTTAAAATAACCTTTGTATCCCTTTCTTGAGTTATACTAAATCTTCTATAGGTGCAGTTTACCATCGTGGCCAGTTTTCACCTTCTATGCAACTTAAAAGCTATTTACTGAACCTTAATTAAAAAGGTGATTGTAGTTCTATAGGGGAAGGATAAGAAAATGAATGTTGTCCAAGATTACATTAAATTTTGTAGACTTCAGAAAGGAATCATGGAGCAGCTTTGCCAAATGATAGGTTGAATGGAGATCTCTTATTAAGAACCAGTTTTTCTGTGTGTTACTGTCCACATGTGTACTCATAGTGTCTTGAAAATTGGTATGTCTCATCTGGCTGAGGGTAGGGATGTTGACGCAATGTAGCATCAGTTTGCCAAAAGATTCCAGAGCTATATTATCTCTCTTCAAAATATCTGAAGTCATTAAAGTGTGTTTCTGGCTCAATAAATTGGCATGAATTTGTGATGTATGTCAAAGAAAGTGATTTGCACATGCCCTTTTAGAAAACTATATCTAAAGCTTGGGGTACTGCACAGTGATGACCATCTGAATGAAGCTGAGCTCACATGACAGTCACTTGGTGGCTTAGGACAGGGATAGGCAAACCATGGTCCAAATCCAGACTGCCAGACACTTGAATGGACTCCAAAATCTTTTTGTTTACTTATCTTTATTTTTTGATAATTTAATCTGGACTCTGGACCTTGACTATATTTTGACCAAGAAATTTGGCTCATGATAAAAATAATTGACTACACTGGCTTCAGGGAAATAAGCAATTATCCTGCACTCAAGTAAGGTTCAAGGACTAAGAGTTCAAGTCTTCTCCTTTTCAAATGCCCAGAAGTGTCTTATGATGTAAGTACTGCTTGTGGGCGAGGCACTACAAAGAGACTTCTTTTAGCATTTGTGCCACAAGTGCAAGTAGTATCATTGAGGAGCTCTAGAGCAGATTTTTTTTTAAAAATTCTATAAGATCCATATGCATAAAGAGATTGCCTTGAAAACTGGTATTCCAGAACAGGGATTGAGGTGAACTTTGTCGTGCAAGTTGAATGCCATTTGATCAAGGAGTTCCCAGAATACAGCCTCACACAGACATGTACAATGACCTGCTTTTGATTTATAGAGTATATTGAACAATTTTCCAAAAATCTGCTTGCAAAAGGATATTTTACTGAAAACTGGTCTGACAAGAGGGACAGGGATACAAAAATTACACCAGAGAGGCTAATTTTAAAAAAAATGGTTCTCTGGTGGAAAGGCCCAATGAATTCTATCAGGATTCACTACCAACACCGCCATAAAACTTTAACTAAGAATTACAAAGAATTAATCTTAATATAATTGTTTCTTTTGGAGGTTCCTGGATTCAAAAGTCTTTCTTCAGTTTTCATTCCCCTAACTTTCCTGAGAAACTAGCTGGTCTGAGGAGCCAACTTGTAAAGGCTATCAGATGAAGCATGCTCACTGGGTGTGGAAAAATGGGATGGAGAATGCTGACTCAGCACTGTAATAGGACATAGTTTTATTCTGGTAGTTTTTCCTTCTAATCTACTATTAATGGAAGCATGAGGGAAAAGTTGGAAAATAAAGGTTTTTTTCCTCCCTTATTCTTTTTCCCATGTGTGAATCAGAGGGCAGTAAAACTGCATTCTAAAACAGTCGTTTTCAAACTACAGGGCAGAAGAAAACCCAGAACTTGGTCATGGAATGTCAGGAACTGCGTCTCATTATTGCAGGGGGAATCAGGTGACCAGTGTAAGTGCTAAGACAGGCTACCTGCCTATCCTGATACTGCAGACTGCACAGCAGGCTCGGGTCCTAGATGTCGGACGGGTGAATAAAGAGAGTGCACAGGGCTCTGTGCACTGCCCCAGCCCTCCACACACTGCTGCACACTACCATTGGCTGGGAAATGGCTGCTGGCTGCTTCTGGAATGCAGCATGGTCTGCGGTGCCAGGAGAGGCAGGAAACCCACCTTAGCATCCCGGCTTACCTTAGCTGTTCAAGGTAAGCCCCTCCTGCTCCAGCCCTGACCCCCTTCCCAAAGCCAGAGCCCTCTCCTACACCCAAAAGTTCTCATCCTCAGCCCCATCCCGGAGCCTACACCCTAGTCAAATTATGTTGGGTTGCAGGCATCAACAATTTTCAACTGGGTCACGAGAAAAAAAAAATTGAAAGCCACTGCTCTAAAGAGTTAGCTGTTAATTGTATTTAGGGACAAAAGCTAGTTAGGGTAGGCTGAAGTTTAATGTGGTTCTTTGGTTTTCTTCTGTACTGTGAAATAAGAAAAAGTGATATTAACAAGCACTCAGGATCTTAAATCTAAAAGGCTCTAAAAACGGCTCAAAGAAACCATGCAGGGAGCATGAGAGTGGAGGATGAACTGCTTTTTCCTCTCAATGTAAAATTCTCTTTTTACATTTCTAATAAGTATTATGAGAAAAGTAGGATTTTAGGAAGAATTTGAATGAAGGGAAGCTGCTGATTTGGGTGAACTGGTTTGCAAAGGTCAGAGATTCTCGAACTGAAGACCAAGAGTTTCATCCCCAGGCAGAGGGCCTATAACTTGAGTCCCATCACCCATGACAGAAGTGGTGGTGGGGCTCAGGCTTCAGCTTTGGTCCCAGCAAGTCTAAGCCAAGCCTGAGGACCCAAAATCACAGTCATAGAAATGATGGTGTAGGGAGCCTTCCCTGTAGTGTGGACATGCTATTTCAAAATAGTTATTTTGGGAGTTATTTCAAAATAAGTTATTTGGAGATAATTTCCTAATGTAGACATGCTCTAAGGTGCCACACTCATTGTTTGCTAACCAAGGGGTATTTGGGTTTTGATTTTTGTCTATTCTTAAACTATTCTGTTGGTTTTATGACTAAAAGTCAGTTGTAGTTTGTCTATAAGTTATTTTCATGATAGAGCTGTTGACCCACCACTGATCATTGAATGTTTGATAAGATTGTACAGTGCTTGCATTTTATACATGGTCAGTTAAGATTAGTTTGTTTAAAGCTTGCCTCTTTTAATGTTCTAAAAACCATATAGTAGTTTCAATTGCCTTGAAATTTGTTGTGTCTCAGGATAGTGCAGGGTTCTGGTAGCAGTCTAAATTTTGAGACATTTCATCAAGAGGTTCTTGACTTACAGTACCCAAAAAACCAGCTTCTCTTAAAGTTGACATTCTGGCAATGCATTTTAATTCACATACAAGTCAAATAAGGGTCTCATACTCAAGGGTTACTCCAACAAAATGCACTGATCTTTTGGGAAAAATCAAATTAAAATATCTCAGGAAGCATTGGCCTCTTCCACTGACTTTTTGAGAAAGATCACATGTGACCTGGGATCTAGAATGGGGGGTATGAAGGTAACAAATTTAAACATCTGAAATCCATCCTAAAAAGTTAAGATGCACATCACCCTGCTGTGTGGTTAACGAGGGTGGACCAGAGTGCATGTGGTGAGGAAGGCTGGCTGAAGCAGAAACAGACATCACAGTTAGAGCTGAGTAGGGGGAGTGAAGGGGCCCAGCTCAACATGCAGCTTTGGCCATATAACAAAGGGAGCATGTGCTTCCTCTATTAAGCTGCTGCCTGTGCTATGCACACACAGAGCACAGGACGGAAGGGACATCAGGAGCAACTTTGCATACGTTAATGGCTTCTGCATTGCCAGCCACTGGTTTAACATGATAAGGGAAA